TTTTCCATACATAGAGTTTAAATCTACCTCCCCATAACTTCCAGTTAACTGCTTCTGGCTCTGACTTCTGGGGCCGAGGAAATCTTACCTATCGTCTACATTATGGCCTTTGAGATATTTCATTTCTTCTCTCACATGCTCTCTCAATCTCCTCTAGGCTAAACATGCCAACTTCCTTCAACTGAGCCTCAAATGTAATGAATGGGAAGCCAATTCGTTGTCCTCCTGTTTGTAAATGTCCTTCCCGAAAGGTGGAACCCAGGACATTCTGACCAGAGGCAACACGGAGGGAGTCACTTTTCTTGATCTTTCTGGATTTTTTAAATGCCATGTCACATCATTAAATTATAATGGATATCAAGCTTTCAGTCTACTAAGACAGCCTCATCTTTTGTGAATGAAATGCTGTCTAGCCCTGCTTCTCTCATCTTGAAGGCAGGATGACCTCCAATATCCCTCCCATTTCCAAATTTTATGATCCTAAGATAGCGATCTTGGGCTGGAGAGAGTCAAGAGATGGGGCAGGATGGTGTCGTGGAAAGGACACAGGGATGTGGCGAACGAAGACGAGTTCAAATGCTGTCTCTGACACTTAACTGCCTGCATGACCTTAGGTAAGTCATTTAATTGCCCTGGGCCCCAGCTTCCTCACTTGTAAAATGTGGAGAATGGATTAGATGATCCTTCTTCAGTGGGAAGGAGACAAAGATTGTGAGAAAAAGGCAGGTGAAGGCTAGAGAATATATTAGGAGTTTTCTGATCTTCCCTTTGGAATGACATCAGAATGAAACTATCTCTTGGAATCTAAGCCACTTTGAAGAATGTCCAGGGGCAGGGGCTCAGGACATTGATTTCTCCCCACCCCACCCCCAAACAAAAAGTATTTCAGATACTTTCACAGATCAAGGACCTGTTACCGTCTAAAGCAAGAGTTGTTAGATTTCAGGGGATCTGTGAACTCAGATGGGAAAAAAATGTATTTTTATTTTTACTACTCTCTACTTAAAGTTTAGCATTTTTTTCAATTATGATTCTTTTTAAAGCATCATTCTGAGAAGGGGCTCATAATAAAAGTAATAGCTGACATTTATATAGTACTTACTAGGTGCCAGGCACTGTACTGAATGCTTTACAATTATTATCTCATTTGATCCTCATAAATAGGTGTTATTGTCATCCCTCTGTTACAAATGAAGAAATTGAGGCAAATCAAGTTTAAATGTCTCACCCAGAGTTACAAAGTGTCTGTGGCTGGATTTGAATTCAGATCTATCCTGACTCCAAGCTCAGAGCTCTACCTCGCTATCTCTCTACCTCTCTGAGGCACCACTGAGTTGCCATAGGCAGAATCTTAAGTCACCAAAAAGGTTAAGAAGTCTGTTCTGAAGAAATCTGACCCTGATGTCTGTCCGCACTGTCGATCCTCATTTTAGATGAAGGATGACTATGGGATGTGGGCAAGAAGTTGATCCAAAGGTCTCTGGCCCTGGTCCTAGGTACTGACCCCCTCCAATCTCTTTTGGGTTAGCTCAGGCTATCACACTGCAGCCCAGGCTGTCCCAACCTGGTCACCCTAAACCCCAGGTCACAGTGCTAGGTCTATAAACATGTTTATTTTCATTAGCAAGTAACTAACCTCTTATCTAAGATGGGGGGAAAAGTACTTGAGGGATAGTATGGCATAGATATTTTCTGGCCTCTGAGCCAAAAAGACCTCAGTTCAAATCTTGCCTTTGACTGGCTGTGTGACCCTGGATATGTCGTTTAACCATTTAGGGCTGTAAACCAATGGTGTCACACTCCAAAAGAAACAGACCACTAATCTGAATATAAGGATCCCTTGCTGGCTATATATTGACTCAGTTTTAAAATATATTATCTTTGTTATACTATAGTTTAATTTATTTTGTTAAATATTTCCCAATTACATTCTAACTCCGTTTGCTGCAGTGTTGTAGATAGTAACATGTCTGCTCTAGGGCCTAGGGAGGTGTTGACTTATACTGGCAGAGGGAGTGTCCTTGCCTACACATCTATAGTGTACATAGAAATATTATGTATTACATGTAAATATAATTCCCTATACAAATGAAATCACGAGTCTAGTCCCTATCTGGAATACTTGCACTATCTAGCTCATGAGGCATTGTGAGGGAAGTGTTCTTTAAATCTGGAGGTTTTTATGGTCCAGATGTGAGATTTCATCAATATAGAGAACTCCCAATGAGGAGATTCCCTCTGCCAATGCAGATCAGCAACCCTTTGGCCACTTAGGATTTCAGGGAGTTGCTTGGGCACAGAGAGGTTAAGTGACTTGTCCAGGGTCACACAGTCAGTGTCAAAGGCAGGGCTCAAATCCTGTTCTTTCTGACTCAGGAGCTAGTTCTTGATTCACTATGTCATGCTGGAGATGTCATGTATAGGACATACATATAAACCTTTGAACACCATATAAATGTGAAAAATTATCATCTCAATATTCTCCCAAGACACTTCTGGAATCTTCATTCCCCAAGACTTTCCAGAGGCGGACTCTGTGTGTGTGTGTGTGTGTGTGTGTGTGTGTGTGTGTGTGTGTGTGTATCCCAACCTTACTGCTCAAAGCTACTTTTCCCCTAAGGTTGAAGATAAGATCAAAGAACTGGCAGAAACCTTTAGTCCAACCCTTTCATTTTATAGGTACAGGAAACAGGCCCAAAAACGCAGACAGCAAGAAGCAGGCTAAGATTGAAACTCAAGCCCTTGGACTCTGAATCTTATGCTCTTTCCCCTACCCGGGCCCTCTGCAGGAAGAGTCAGCCGCCCTGAAGAGATGGAGCAGGACTCCAGGCCCTGAGTGTAGTGCCCAAGAACAGGACTGAGGAGACCTCTATTGAGCCCTGTCAATCCTGTGTAGGACTCATCCCCCATCCTCTCCAGCACAGGCAATCAGCCGGGCAGCCGTGTGCAAATCCACTTTCCTTGTATACATACTACTCTGATAGGACACAAACAAGAAACTGTCTCGATGAATACAATTTGTACAATTTATACAACTGAAAAAAAACAAAGCGGGTCAAAAATTTGCAGCAAAATGAAGCAGTTAGAGGGAAAAGGAAAAGGCCCAGAGCAGGAGCTGGGTGACCTCAGTCCATCATCACAGATCTGCCACTGACTTGCTATGGGACGTTGAGTAAGTTACTGCCCCCGTATAAGCCTCAGGTCTCTCATCTATAAAATGAGAGTGTTAAATATTCAAATAGTGGGAAGAGGAGGAGGAAAAGTCTCCTCCTTTGTAAGAGACGTTAAAGTTTATACAAAGCACTTTGAAAAGCCCTTCAAGAATTATCCCCGTTTTACAGATGAGGAAACTGAGGTCCAGAGAGCTTTAAGTGATTTGCCCAGTGCTACACAGTTGGTAGTATTGAACTCCAAGGCCAGATAATCTATAATGTCCCTGTGAACTCAAATAGTCTATGATTCTATGGCATGTCCCAAGAGATCAGGGGACAGACCTAGGAAAGTGAACTCAGGGGTTCTGCAGCCCATGCTATCTCCTGACTCCTGGATGAACTCTGTTGATTTCCTCTTTCCAAACCCCCTTCTCTATTTACAGAATTTGGAGTGTTCCTGCCACCCTCTCCTTGGGCCTCTTGGACCAAACTTTCCCTGCCTCAAACACTCACCCCCAGTGGAGTGGGAAGCCAGAACTCAGTCCATGGCCCCCTGATCCCAGGGCCCAGGAATGTGCAGGGATCTGGACCTACAAGACAAGTCAGGAGGGAGTTGAGAGGAGAATGAGGGAGATATGGAGCTATATAGCATAATTTGTAGGAGGCTTTTGGCTTTCTCTGAAGCCCCCAATTCCTTCCAAGTGAGGGGCTGGGGGGCTTGGCAAGCTTCAGCAATGCAAAGGCATAGAGCAGATTTTGTAGGGGGTCCTGCCCAGTGTTTCCCACCTCTCCTATCCCTTCAGCAGGTTTCTGAAGAGTCTCAAGGATAATCTGAGAAACAGAGGAGTCAGGCGCAATCTCAAGTAGCCCTTGGGTGAACATCACCTCTTGGTTTCACTGAATTATAGACTATTATGGCTGAACATGATCTTAGAACATGTAATGTCAGAGCCGGAAACGACTTTAGATCACAGCATTATACCTATGGTACGTCTTGAGACATAGCACCTCATTTTATAGATATGGAAACTGAGGCCCAGGGAAATAGAGCTACTTGCCCCGAATCACACTAATTGTGAGTGACAGGATCAGAACCAGCACCCAGGTCTGCTGACTCTCAGTCTTGTGTTCTTTACACTGTGAAGGGGCCAAGCCACCTTCAGCCTCAACCCATAGCTCCCTCCTGAAGGAGCTCTAGGCCCTTCCCTATAGTCCTCACCCCAGCCTGCCCTGGTCAGTCTTCCCAGATTGTGCATGAGGCGAAGTATGGGGTTGGAGTTTTCCATATGAATAGAGCCTCAATCATCCCTAGCTCGGGAGCTAGAGGCACTAACTATGGAGTGTATGGATGGAAGGGCATCCCTCCTCTCAGAGGCAAAGGCCTACTGTCCCCAGACTCTGGTCTCCCTCTCCTCAGGAGTGGAACTGCAGGATCTAGGTCCTAGGAACTGATATCAGCCCAAATACACCTCTCCCTGTAAGCCATTACTATCTTTACCTGGTGAAGGGGAGAGCAGGGAATGAGATGGGGGAAAAGGTTCTGATGAAAGCAAAAAATGGACTCAGTTTCTCCCTACCAAGCCCCTAAAGACAGGAAGAGCCCAGGAGCATCTGGTCTGAAGAGTCACTGGGAAACTATTTACAGAATCATGCATGGATCTCTAGATCTGGAAAGATCCATAGAAATTATGGAGTCCAAATCCCTCATTTTATGAAGTAAACTGAATCCCAGGTAGATGAAGTCACTTGCCCAAGTCTATCAGTAGAACTAGGATGAAAACCCAAGTTTCCTGACTCAGGGAGCACTTTCTACTAGACTGTTACTGGAGCTCACCTTATCTCAGAAGCAGAATGAGTCTGGTGGGTGTATTCCCAGATGGGTGGGTCGGGTGGGGAGAGGTAGACCAGGGTTCAGAGATGGTGGGCTCTACTCGTCATTGTCTGGCTGTGTTCTGAGAGGCCAACAAGAGGCTAGATACTAGAAGGGAGGTGAAGATGGAGGCTGGCCTGAACCCGGACAAGGAGATCCTGCCAAACTGACTCTAGCCCAAGAGAGAGGGAAAGAGGGGCCCTCAAAACCACCAGTTAATGAAGGCAAAAGAACTCCCTAATGGCAGAGAAAGACCTTTCACTGGAGAAGGTGAGTGAGAGAAGGTCCTGGGGCAAGTCGTGGGGACTGTGAGCCACCTACTTGCCAGGCTGACGACAGAAGCAGCCAGGAACATCGCGATGTAGAAGGCTCCCTCCATGCCGTTCCTCTGTCTGTCTGTCCTCGGGACCTTATCCAGTGTCCAGAGGTAAGGTGGCCGGGGGCCTCGCTGGATGGCGTGGGTTGTCCTTGTGACCAAAGGGGCAGAGGCAAGGGGTCCGGCAGCTTCCCTGCTCCAGCCTTCTCAAGGGTGGGGGGAGTGTGGGGGGGGAAAAGATGGAGGAAGAGGCAGGAAGGATGGGATGATGTGGAGGGGCCAGGGGAGGGTGAACCCAGCGGGGTTGTGAGGAGAGAGGTTGTTAGAGAGAGAAAGAGAGAGAGAGAGAGCTCTGTCCTCAAGCCTGGCTGGGGTAGCTGACCAGAGGCTGGGCACTCTCTGGAGCGAGCTGCTCCCGAGCAGCCCAGCCCGGGGAGTGACCTGGGGAGGCAGGAAATGAGTTTCCTTAGAGGAGGGGCTTTGGGGCGGCTACCAGCCAAAGGGAGAGAGGAAGTGCTGTTTAGAGTCTGGGCTTGGGACTGGGGGGCTGTCAGGGACTGACAGAACTCCTTTATTCCCCTCCCCCACTCCTATCCCACCTCCCCTCTTCAGCTCTCTCCAGCCTCCAGTGTTGGGGACTGGAACATCTGGCAGGAAACATCTGGTTCTGTCAATCAGCCCCTGAGAAGCGTCAGTCCCCAAGAGGGGAAATCCCTGGGTGTCCCACTTTCTGGTCAGTTGGACTCATAGCCTTACTGGGGTCAGTGGGGGTAAGAGCTGGTGGCCGGCGGATCAGAAGGAGTCAGTAGCCTTTGAGGAAGGATCTGATGCCTTTCTTCTCGGGATCTCAAAGCACTCTTTAGAGAGTGATCATTGGTTGTCCATTCATTTATTCAACAGTGTATTAAATTTACCATATACCTAATCTGATACTCTGTGGTCAGTGCAAAGTAGCTTCTGCCCTCTTGGAGTTTAATACCTCGTTAGGGAGACAAGTCAAACAAATACTTGGTATGGTTAGAAAGTAGACCCAGAGGTTATCTGATGATTAAGGGCCAGAATGAGTGTCCAAAGCCCTTGGACATTAAAAGTTCAAAAGAAGAGGACATTGATTTAGGCTGAGGTGGTCAGGGAAGGCTTCATGAAAGGGGGCGGGGAACCAAGGCCCAGAGAGGGAAGGAGAATACCAGAGATGGTAGTAGCTCACCCTAGAAACCTGTTGTTCTGACCACCCAGAGCTACACTTGTGAGAACAGAGAACTGGGAGTGAAACTAGCTCCTGTACTCTTCTTTATCAACAACTGACCTATCTGTGGCACATTTTATTCCTGGGCTCGCTGCCCCAGCCCCCGGGACTCTCTGCTCAGCGAATGCAAACTCATTTTGGTGACCAGCCTTAGTCAGATAGAGAGAAAAAAATCACTTAATGTAATTCATAATATATATCCAATGTATATATTTGCTATTTTAAAAAATTATCCAATTGCTTTTGGATTTTCCAGACTGTCTCTCCTTCATTAGCACAGATAACCGATTTGAGAGTACTTGTGTCTGCTATCCTCTGTTCGGTCTCCCCAGTCCCAGGAGACCAAGACTTTACCCCTGGACAGCTCCCTTCACCCATGCCTGACAAGGCCACCGCCCCCCTCCCCACCCCTGGACAGCTCCTTTCCCTCAATACCTAGCCTATCCAGTCAGCTGCCTCCTGATGTCTCATCTTGGACAGTGGCTAATGAGATCAAAGGCCGTGACCATGGTTTATCTCAAAGGTCTCTCGCCAGCGAGAAGACTGCCCACCAGAAGTTGGGGGGGGGGGGAGAAGGGAGGAAGGGAGGGGCCAGAGTCTGAAGACTGCTGAGTCTCCTCAGGGACAGAGGGCAGCTCCCTTCAGGAACCCAAACACACATTCCAGGGCCTTGGCCCGCCCCCAGGCAAGGAGCCGAGGAAGGCCCTTGCTGATGCCCCTATGGTCCCTATATCCCACCCTCGGAAATGCCGGGAATCTGGGCACTGAGCAAGATCTGCCAGGAAGAGGATCCCTAGGGGAGGAAAGAGCTGAGGGGAGGGTGTGGGGGGGATCCATCCAAGACAATGGGGTTTAGATTCCAGCTGCTTCCCCCTTAGCCTTTCAGTGAAGCCCCCAGCTAGGGTGGAGGAGGGGAGCGGGCACCCTGCTGTCCTGTGCCTTTTCCTGAAACTACAGGGGAGAGGGCATGGTGGAGTTCTGGCTGTGTAGAGACGGGGTCAAGGTGTGGGTGTTAGGAGTGTCAGAGATAGGGAGAGAGAGCTCAAAAAGCAGAAAACTCGCTTGCTGCTTGCTGATTGAATTGAATCGAATTGAATTGATAACTGCCTCCTCTTCTGGGGCAAGTGATAGTGGACAGCCCACGGGAGTTTTCTAAAATCCCCTTCATACATTTTCCTACGGTGCCCACTCTCTACACGGTCCTCTCCCCAGAACAGGGGAACAGGACAGGGAAAGAGGCTTCACAGCCCACCCACCCCAACCCTGTTAGTCCACCAAATATCAGCTTCTCTTTGTCCCTTTATCCCAGTTCCTCTCACCAACTATCAGATAGTAGAATGAGAGGATTTAGAGGTGGCTCATGTGAGATCCCTAAGAATACTGTGAAAAGAACATTGAATTTGGAGTCAGGGGACCTGAGTTCAAATCCCACTTCTGTCATTTCCTAATAGCCCATGTGATCCCGGCCATTGCTTAATCTTTCTGGCTTTTGCTTCCTCATTTGTAGAACAAAGAGGTTGAATTATTTGAGCACTAAGGCCTTTTCCAGCATCAAATCTAGGAACCTGAGACTTAGGCTAATTCTTCCATTTCAAGGATGAGGAGATAAGTGACCCAACTGAGAAAGTCAGGGAAATGAGGACTAATCTTGGAGCCAGAGGACCTGGCTCTGAGCTCAGTAGCTGCACAAAACTAACTCAGTTTCTCAAGTGTGTAAATGGGAAGCCAGACATCATAGACGAGAATGAGAATAGAAAGACAGTACTAGCCAAGGGCGCCACTCTGACCACTTCCAATGGGGAAGTGGAACTTCCCATCAAAGACAGCAGGCACCCGACACAGGCTGGCGTGGGTGTGGGTCTGGGAGGAAATCCACCAAGTGCGTAATACTGGCCCACAGAACAACAACCTTCATTTACCTGCCCATAACTCCCCGTGCACAAAGGGAGGTGAAGAGGAAGGAGCCCCAAGCTCAAGCTCTGACTCCTGGCTGGCATGTTGTGTGAACAAAGACAAGCGACATCACTCCTCTGGCCTTTATGGTCCTTGTCTGCAAAATGGGATTAATGATACTTGTCCTACCTGCCTTGTAGGGCATGGGGGAGGACAAATGAAGTCATGGGTGTGAACTTGGGTGGTAAATGGTCAGCTGCTGTTATTTCTAAAATGTAGGGACCATCTAGCTCAACCTTCTTATTGTACAGATGAGGAAACTGAGGCCTAGATAGGGGATCATAGGAGAACTTGCATTCTCCTGAATGAATTTGTGAATTCATTCTCATGACTCCCCACCTCTGCCCAAAAGAACTAAGAGGGATCTTAGAGACCATCTAGTCTAACTGGCTCATAAAATACTACTACTAACTATTACCATCACCACCACCACCACCACCGATGATGATGATGATGATGATGATGATGATGATGATGATGATGATGATAACTAGCAAGGGACTTTTTTTTTTGATGCGGCAATCGAGGTTAAGTGACTTGGCCAGGGTCACACAGCTAGTAAGTGTTACGTGTCTGAGACTGGATTTGAACTCAGGTCCTCCTGACTCCAAGGCCAGAGCTCTATGCACTGTACCACCTAGCTGCCCCTTAGCATGGGACTTTTAAGGTTTGCAAAGCACTTTACAAATATCATCTCATTTTCTCCTCACCATATCCTGGAAGATAGGTTTTATTACAGATGGGGAAACTAAGGACCAGAGAGATTAAACGATTTGTCCAAGGTCAAAGGATCCTCAACTACCTTTATTTATTTATTTAACCCTCAACCACCTAACTCCAAATCTAGTGCTCCTCCTATAGTAAGTACCACCTTCAGAAAGGAAAGGAGGCAGTGTGGGATAGGGGGCAGCACACTGGACTTGTAACTGGGAAGACTAGGACCTAATCCTACCTCAGGCACTGAAAAGCCATGTGATTATGCTTTACTTGCTCAGCCTTTTCAGAGCCTCAGTTTCCTCATCTGTAAAATAATATAGTAGAGGATCACAAGAGTCTCAGTGCAGTTTTAAGCTTTTAATGGCCTTAAGACTTTCAGGACACCTTGTTCTTGAACCACCTGCCTCGAATTTAGTGAAGTTCTAAGCTTTAGCTTTAATAGCTTAAAATGGCACTCAGACTTCTGGGGACACCCTGTATTATGAGGAAAGCAACTCTGCAAAACTTTAAGCACTATGTAAATGTGAAGTTATCTGTATTATCACTCAAGATCACACGTCCAGTCCAAATGAGGTGGTATCCAGGACCCCCCGGGTCTTAGAAAGCCTAAGTTTATCAGATGACCCAGGACCTCTAAGAGAACACACTAATTAAGCTTCTCCTGGAGCAGACAGCTCTGTTTCCTCAGAAGAGCCCCAGAGATTTCTCCACAGACTGGTCAGTGAATCTGGCTCTTTCCGACTTCCTTGCTGACCAGGAATCTTGGGGGAGGGAGGAGGGGGGAGGTGGATCAAGGAGAGAACATCCTCTCAGGCTAAGACCCCAGGGGGAGGGACTTCAAGAGTGGCTGTCCCCTTGGCTGCTAGCCACCCCAGGAATGTAGGCGCTTCCCCTGGGGACCACTGAGGCCAGCCTCCTGTCTCCAGTCTCGGCCCAGAGCCAGGGGCCATGAAAAGGTGTCTGATCCCAACCCCACATTCTTCCCTGTGAATGAACAAGGCAGGATGGAGGGTGAGGCCCTTACCATGAAATTCCACTGTCGTTGTTTGAAGGGATCCTTTGCTTCTGGTTCCTAGGATCTTGGCCTCTGTTCCACAAATTCTTAGCTCTGGTGGGCTATGCATAGGACAGCCTCCAAGTAGAAGGTCTGCTGTCCACCTCTTCCACTAGATAACTTTCCACTGTCACTCCCAGGACTGGCCTGACTCAAAGGTGCCCCAAATGCCCCCTAAATCCTCCTTTACCTGGTGATACTCCAAATGTCCACTTCTTAGGACTTCTGTTACAGATTCTCAGTGTGACCTTGGGTAAGTCCCTCCTCTTCTCTAGTCCTCAGTTTCCTCATCTTTAAAATGAAGGGGGGGTTGGACATAGGTAGTCTCTAAGATGTGTTTCCACTCTGGCACTGTATGATGTGGGTCCTTGTTCCAAGGATAAACTTAAGTGAACTCATAGAAGTGTAGGGGAATTAAGCTCCATCATCTCCACAGCCCATGAAGGGGCAAGTCAGGGCCTCTGTCTGGGGCCGGCGCCTTCAGCCTGGCTCTGCCGCCCCCTGCACCCTGTCGGACTAAACACCCCAGCACTGTTTGTGTTCCCTATTGTCCTCCCGGGGCCTTATCTGATCTGGAGGGGCCAAGTCCTGGGGGGCTGGTCTATCCTGGCTCCGGACTGGCCGCCCTTCACAGCCTCCCTTTCTGACCAGAAGGAAGGGGCAGGGGTGCCAGGCAGGCAGCCCCTTGGGAGCAGCCAGAGTCTGGAGTTAGGCATTGACATGTCTGGGTCTTTCACCACCCTGGGCAGGTCATCTGGTCTCCTTTCTAATTCTCTACCAGTGGAGAGACTCCTTTCTGAAACTGTACAATACCTGCCCCAGCCAAGATCCCAAGTGTCAATGACCTTTCCCCTCAGTCTTGGTGGTCCAAGAGTACAGGTGCAGGGGCTGCTGGGCTGTGTGAGGTGAAATTGGAATGAGACCCAGACTTCCTAGTGGCTAGGAAAAGACATAAGTCATAGAGTGGAAAAGGCATTCAACCGGGAATCGAGAGACCTGCCCACTGCTACTGATTAATTACAGGACTGAGCAAGTCCCTTCTCCCACCTAGACTCAGTTTCCTGATTTGTAAAATGAATGGGGTTTGATAAGACATTCTCCAAGGCCCTTCCAGCTGTAGCCTCCGGTGGAGCCCAGGCTCTCCAGCCTCCCCCCACTGACAAGCACAAGGGCCCCTCCTCCTGTTCTCTCTTCTTCAGTGCTCCCCCCCCCAAACTTCCCTCTGGTTCTAACACCCCCAATCCCCATCATGGAACAGCCAGTCTTTCCTGTTTACTCCCTGGCCTCCTGCTACAAGGGGAGGAGGGGTGAGGAGGGAGGCGACACAGACCCTTCACTGATCCAGGCTTCCTTCCTCTCCCACTCCTGCTTCATCTGGAAGACAATCCCTTCCTCTGGGGCCTCTTACGCCCTGGGGTTGAGGCACACGTGCCAGTGTCGCCGGTCAAGGGGGTGATGAGGGCAGCCGGGGCCAGCATCCACATGTTGGACCAGTGGTGGCCAATCACATTCCCTTTTTGATAGACTATCCCCAGGGACAGACCTCAGGACACTAAGCCAGCTAAATTAGTCCCTGGGCAGCTTGGGAAGGAGCTGTTAATATTGATTCCATTATATGATCTATGTCTGAGCAGAAAGAACTTCAGTCTAGGAGTCTGGAAGTCTGAATTCTCTTACTGACTCGGCCACCAGCTACGTGCGTGACCTCGGACAAGTGACCTCAATTCCCTTCTCCACACAATGAAGTGGGATTAGACTAGAGGCCTTGTCTAGCTTTAAATCCCAAGGTCCTCTAGGGTAGAAGAGTAGAGCTTCTCCACAAACAAATTCATCAGACATTTATTGAGCCAAGCCCTGTGCTCAGTGCTGGGTTTACAAGGATGAGAAAACAAGACTACACTTCCCCTCAGGGAGCTTACAATCAAATACATAGGCTATGACACATAATACAAATGAGTAGGACACAAAGTAGTCTGCGCTAGGGGTAAAGGAGAGATTCAAGTATAGTAGTATTCTGGGGGGGAGGGAGAGAGAGAGATCACTTTCAGAGGGGAGAAAATCAAGGAGGGCTGCATAGAGTAGGTGGCACCTAAGATGGGTCAGTGAGCAGAGTGACATGATTAGACTTGCAAATTAGGAAGTAAGGAAACAAGCATTAATTTTATTAAGCACCTACTGGGCCAGGCACTGTGCTAAGCACTTCGCAAGTATTTTCTCACCTGATCCCTCAAGACAATGCTGAGAGGTTAAGTGCTGTTATGATCCCCATATTTTAGAGTTGAGGAAGCTAAGGCAGACAGAAGTGAAGTGACTTGCCCAGGGTCACACAGCTAGAAGTATCTGAGGTCTGATTCCCACTCGGGTCTTCCTGACCTTAACTATGGAGCTCTAAGCCACTGGGGAGCCACTTAGCTGCCATTAGGAAATTTAAGTGAGCCACAGTGTGAAGGATGGCAGAGAGGGGAAAAACAGGAGGTAGGGAAACCAATTAGGGAGCCAGAGTCGATAAAGATCTAAATTAGTCTGATGGCAGTGAGAATGAAGGCACAGAAAAGATATGTGCCGCTGTGCTCATAGAATGATAATCAACAGAACCTGAGAACTGAGAGGGAGGGAGGAGCCTGGTATTTCCAGACTGAGCGACAGGGTCATCCATCATACATTTACAGCGAGGAAGGAACAGACCCTCTAACTCAGCCTCGTCTTCTGACACATGGAGGAGGACAAGAGTCAAGTCAACAAACATTACGCAACTGTAAAGTGATCAGGCCCTGTGGGCAGCTGGAGCTCTGGGCCTGCAGTCAAGAAGGCTTGAGTTCAAGGCCAACCTTAGATCCTTGCTCGCTGTGCCACCTTGGGCAAGTCACTTAACCTGGTTGCCTCAATTTTCACAACTGCAAAATGGGGATCATAATAACACCTACCTCCCAAGGTTGTTGTGAGGATCAAATGAGATGATAATTGCAAAGTACCTAGCACAGTGCCTGGCACCGAGTAATCGCTATATAATTGTTTGCTACTGATATTATTGCTTAGGGTCACACAGTTAATATATAGCTGAGGTAAGATTTGAACCCAGATCTTCCTGGCTCTAAGTCCAGCAGTATAGACACTCTGACATGCTGCCTTTAGGATGTTGATACCATTGAGAAAAATAAGGAAGTTGGAAAGAGATGCAAATTTGGAGGGGATAAGGATGAGATCGATTCAAGGTATGTTGGGTTTGAGATAAGTAGGCTGCTGTTCTTTGGAGAGTCAGCCAACTTCTCTTCCCCCTCCCTAAATAAGAATATAGAGCCCAGAATTTTAGTGATGATAAAGACCTTCAAAATCATCACGATAAGGCTATCTAGCAGGCCACAAGAGATGGAGCTCACTGAAGAACCTAAAATATACTTAAAAGTCCATCTGGAAGGTGGTGATAATTAAAGCCATAAAAGTGGAGATCACTAAGGAAGAAAAACAGAGAACCAGGCTGAGGAAAGACAGCCACACTTAAGTGTAGATGGGGGAAGAAGCCTATGAAATAGTGAGAAAGTCGTCAGAGGCAAAAGAACCAGCGGAGGAGAGACTGTCAAGAACTGTGAAGTGATGAGGTGTATTCAAAAGCTGCAGAGGTCAAGGAGGATGTAGACTGAGAAGAGGCCATCGGATGGGGCCATTACAAACTCATTGCTGATGCATACAGAATAGCTCCAAAGATTAATAAGGACCATGCAGAGTAGGGTAGAAGCAGGAAACCAATGTGTACTACAAAATGACTGCAATGGAAATGGAGAGCTCAGCAACAGTAAAACAACTGAAAATGAATGCAGCAAAGGTATAATGATCAAACTTGGCCCCAAAGAGGAGATATGAGAAAGCACCAAGGCACCTCCACCCTTGTTTGAAGAGTTAGGGAACACTGCGTATAATCAGACTTTTTTGACTGTTATTAGTGTTGCTAAGCTGTTTCTCTCTCTCTCTCTTCTCTCTCTCTCTCTCTCTCTCTCTCTCTCTCTCTCTCTCTCTCTCTCTCTCTCTCTCTCTCTCTTTCTCCCCCACCCCACCCCATTCTTTGCTATAAGGAATGGCTCTGGGACTGAGGAGAGTAGAGGAACGTATTGGGAAACGTAGGTGATATCAAAAGATATCAATAAAACATTGTTTTAAAGAAAAGAGATCATTGGAGAAAATCACAGGATTTAAAGCTAGGAGAGATAATTAGTCTAGCTCCCTAATTTTATAAAAGTGGAAACTGATGCCTAAGGATGGGAAGGGATTTGTCTATTGGTCACACAGTGGCAGTGCCACGTCCTCAGATTCCATAACCAATGCTCTTTCCACCAGAACAAGACACATTCTATTTCAGGACAGTGATTGGGATAGAAACCACACTGTAAGGGGCTGAGAGTGAATGGATGGTAAGAAAGTAGAAGTATTGAGAGGAGACATATAGTACCATAGCTTGAGGATGTGGTAAGTCCCAGGGAAATTTTTTGTTACTACAACAGAGACCTGAACTACTTACCCCTTGGTCTACCCCCACCCCAAGGCACTATCACACGGCTGAATATACAATAGATGCTTATCCACTTGCCAGAAAAAGCCATCAACCTATCTCCAGGAAGCTAGGCCATGAGTTGAGGGTCTATCTTTCCAGCAACATCCCCATCACCATCACTGCCTCCCAGTTAAGCAGAAGAGTGAAGGTCCCTTCATTTGTCCCTGGGCTTTGTGCCCCAAGTTCTATGAAGTCACAGAATTTCAGAGCTGGCAGGGACTTTCAAAAATCATCCGATCCCATCCCCTAATTTTACAGATGGGGATATCCAAGGTCATACAACTAGACAGTGGTAGAAACAGAACCCATTCCTAAGTCCCTCACTCCACTATAACATGGTGAAAGAATGATAACAGCGGGCACTCAGGGAGAACAATGCTGACAGATGAGAGGAGGTGACCATGGGTCTTCCCTAGTGGGCTGGGAAGCAAAGTAGCCCAATGTGTACCCTTCCATTGACCACTCTGTAGTCCTAGCTATAAGGCTGAGGAGGTTGGGGTATGGAGAGGATTAGGCAGACCGAATTCTTGCCCCTGGCTAAAGGGAAAGAAGAAAGCGCTTGCTGGAGCTGGGGAATGTTGATACGTTGTCAGTGAACTTTCCTTTGAATCAAAGAACCAAAACCAAACGTCCTTGGAGATTCCTTTAGTGAAGTTGTGTCCATGAAAACAGGATAAAGCCACTTCCTCTGTCTGAGCACAGAGCTCAGAACTAGGTCGGGGAGGAGCTAGGAAGGGCAAGCAGGAGGGGCGGCTGCTCCTGTCTTGGGGTGGGAGGGAGTGGGGGAGATGAGCGTCGTTGAAATGGGGGAGATGACCAGGGTTTTCCAAACCCCATTACTTCAGGGCATCCAAATGGGTACAGACTTGTTCAAAGACACTTTCCACTGAGCCTTCAGCATTGATCTGTGGGAAGACAGAGGGGTCGTTAGACTGACCTGGGAAATCCAGGGTGGGGAGAACCAATGACCTCGAAGGACTTCGGCTCTGCTATTTACCTAGGCGAAGGCCTCTGATTCTCTGAACCTGCATTTTCTCAATTTGTAAAATGAGGAGAAGTTGGACCTCTGATCATCTGATCCTATTATAGACATATAATGGGGGCTAACCCATTGGTCCACATCCCTACTCCACCCCACCCATATCTGGGATGTGAGACAAACAAGAGGGATTTAGGTTTGATGTCAGAGAGAACTTCTGTCTACGTGAGGGAAATCTATGGAAGGAAGATGGTGAACCTCTTTCTCTGGAAACAGTATTAGTCAGGGACAGAGTCAGGAGAAGGGACTAAATGATCTTTTTAACTGGAGGCTTTGAAGACTTGGGTAGGGTGGCTCACAACGACAAAACCAAATGTCCTGGAAAGAAGCTTTCAGGGCCTGCAGTCAAGAGGCCCAGACCTAAATCCCGGTTCTGCTACTCATTTAGCTAGGTGACCCTGGGTCAATTACTTAACTTCGAGTTTCAGTTTCCCCAACTGTAAAATGAGGGGGTTAGATTAGATGACCTCTGTAAGGTTAGAGCTGGAGGGGGACCTTAGAGGTCATCTAATCTAACCCCCTCATTTTACAGCATCCAGAGGGACCAAGAACTGGCTTTCCTCCTCCCTCCTTCCCTTCCTAGGGCCCTGGCTTTGCCTTCTTCCACCCATCTGCTCTCGATCTGGGCCTAGTGCCTCCCAGCCCACCTTTGATGTTTCTGAGGCTCCCTGAGACGTAAGCCACGGCTCTGCCCCCCCACTTCCCCACTCCAACCCCCAGCCCCTTACCTTGCGCACAATACCCCGACCCTCATAAAATTTGATGACTGGCTCCGTGGCACTGTAGTACGTGTCCAACCGTTTCTTGATGGTCTCTTCATTATCGTCTACTCGTCCACTGGTCTCCCCTCGTTTCAGCAATCTTTGCACCATGGTTTCTGAGCCAGCATCTATATAGAGCAGCAGTGTAGGGGAGCCAATCTAGGGTGACAAGGAGAAGAAAGGGGATAGAGAATCAGGACAGAAGAGCTCTGGGTTCTGATCCCAGGTGTACCAACTTGTTGGACGATGCTGAATAAATCAATCAAACCTCTCTGAACTTCGAGTCTTTAGCCCCAGAGCCTTTGTCTTGTGACATTTGGTGCCTGTGGCTATAATAGGATCAGATGGTCAGAGGTCCAACCTCCCCTCATTTTACAAATTGAGAAAATGCAGGTTCAAAGAATCAGAGGCCTTCGCCAAGGTAAATAGCAGAGCTGAGGTTCATTATCAGGTTTTCTGATTCCAAATCCTCAGGTTTCATGCCATAATACCATGATGGTTAGGCTCATTATGGGGTAAGATTTGTTTAATTTTTTTTCAGTTATCCAACTTTTTTTATGAGGCAGTTGGTAGCACAGTGGAAAGAGCACTGAGCCCAGAGTCAAGAAAGCCTGAGTTCAAATCTGACCTCAGACATTTACTAGCTATGTGACCACAGACAAGTCACTTAACCTCTGTTTGTCTCAGTTTCCTCAAATGTAAAAACAGCACCTATCCCCCAGGATTGTTGAGAGGATTAAATGAGATAATACTTATAAAAGTGCTAGCACAACGCCTGGCACTATGTAAATGTGTATTCCCTCCCCTCCCCTTATTTTTTCCTCCCTTCCAATGGAAAAAAGGAAAAGAAAACAAAACCCTACGATCAAGGAAGCATAGTCAAGCAAAACAAATTCCCATATTGGCTACGTCCAAAAATGTGCATCTACTTCTACATATGTAGGTAGTACATATGTAGTAGGTACTTCTACCTTCTCTGTCAGGAGGTGGCAGCATTCTTTATTATTGGTCCTCTAGAACCGTAGTTGGTCATTATGAGTCTTCTTCTTCTGTTAATCTGGGCAATTTATATTTTTGTAAATATTCATCCATTTCACTAAGATTGTCAAATTTATTGGCATACAGTTGGGCAAAACAGCTCCTAATTATTGTTGATTTCCCCTTCATTGGTGGTGAATTCAACTTTTTCATTTTTGATGCTGGTAATTTGGTTTTCTTCTTTCTTTTTTTTAAAATCAAATTAACCAAAGGTTTATCTATCTTATTATTTTCATAAAACCAGCTTAGTTTTATTTATTAGTTCAATAGTTTTCTTAATTTCAATTTTATTAATCTCTCCTTTGGTTTTCAGAATTTCTAATTTGGTATTTAATTGGGGATTTCAATTAGTTCCCTTTCTACTTCTTCCCTCCCTTCTATTCACCCCCTTCTTTTTCTTTTCTCTTTCCCCTCCTACTTCCTCTAGGGTAAGTTAGATTTCTATACCTAACTGATTATGTTATTCCCTCTTTGAACTAAATCTGATGAGAGTAAGGTTCAATAATGCTCATCTCCCTCCTTTCTTTCCCTTTACTGTAATAGGTTTTTGTGCCTTTTCATGTGATGTAATTTATCCTTGTCTGCCTCCTCCTAGCTTTTTTAGTTGCATACTCAATTCATTGATCTCTTCTTTCTCCATTTTATTCATGTAAGCATTTAGAGATAGAAAACTTCCCCTGAGGACCCCCTTTGCTGCATTCCATAAGTTTTGGTAAGTTGTCTCATTATTGTCATTCTCTTGGATGAAGTTATTGATTGTTTCTATGATTTGTTGTTTAACCCACTCACTCTTTAGGATTAGATTATTTAGTTTCCAATTAATTTTTGGATTATCTTTCCATGGCCCTTTATTACATGTAATTTTTATTGTATCACTATCTGAAAAGGATGCCTTTAATATTTCTGTCTTTCTGCATTGGCTTGTGAGGTTTTTATGCCCTAATACATGGTCAATTTTTGTGTAGGTGCCATGTACCACCAAGAAAGAGGTATATTCCTTTCTGTCATTCAGTTTTCTCCAGAAGTCAACCATATTTAACTTTCCTAAAATTCTATTCATCTCCTTAACTTCTTCCTTGTTTATTTTGTGGTTAGATTTATCTAGTTCTGAGATGGGGAGGTTGAGGTCCCCCACTGGTATAGTTTTGCTGTCTATTTCTTCCTGTATCTCCCTTAACTTCTCCTTTAAGAATTTGGATGCTATACCACTTGGTGCATATACGTTTAGTAATGATATTACTTCATTATCTATGATACCTTTTACCAGAATGTAGTTTGCTTCCTTATCTCTTTTAATTAGATCTATTTTTGTTTTTGCTTTGTCTGAGACCAGGATTGCTACCCCTGCTTTTTTTTTTTACTTCAGCTGAAGCATAATATATTCTGCTCCAGCCTTTTACCTTTACTCTGTGTGTATCCCTCTGCTTCAAATGTGTTTCTTGTAAACAACATATTGTAGGATTATGGTTCTTTATCTACTCTGCTATCCATTTCTGTTTTATAGGAGAGTTCACCCCATTCACATTCACAGTTATAATTACTATCCGTGTCTTCCTCTCCATCCTTCCCCCCCATTTATGCTTTTTTCTCTCCTTTCTCCCTTTCCCTCCTCATCAGAGTTTTACTTTCAACCACCACCTTCCTCAGTCTGCCCTCCCTTCTATTAGTCCCCTCCCTTTTCTCCCCCTTTACCCTTTCTATGTCTTCTTTTCTTCTATTCACCCCCTCCCTTTTCTTTTCCCTCTCCCCTCCTACTTCCTATATGGTAAGTTAGATTTCTGTACCTAACTGATTATGTTATTCCCTCCTTGAACTAAATCTGATGAGAGTAAGTTTCAAATAATGCTCATCTCCCTCCCTTCCTTCCCTCTACTGTAATAGGTTTTTGTGCCTTTTCATATAATTTATCCTTGTCTACCTCTTTCTTTCCTCTTCTCCCAATACAATCCCTTTTCACCACTTAATTGTATTTTTTTACCATCACATCAAAGACAACTTATAACCACATCCTCTGTCTAAGTGTACCCCCTTTTAAATCTCATAATAACATTACAATTCTCAAGAGTTACAAGTGTCATCTTCCCTTCTAGGGATGTAAACAGTTTGCCCTTATTAATGATAATATATTGTTATTGTTGTTTGCTTTCCTGTTTACCTTTTTATACCTCTCTTGAGTCTTGTATTTGAAAGTCAAATTTTCTGTTGAGCTCTGGTCTTTTCATCAGGAAGATTTGGAAATCCCCTATTTTGTTGAATATCCATCTCCTTCCCTGAAAGATTATGCTCAGTTTCCCTGAGTAATTGATCCTTGGCTGTAATCCAAGCTCCTTTGCCTTATGGAATATTGTATTCCATGCCCTCCAATCCTTTAATATAGAAGCTGCAAGTAATCCTGCAAGTAATGTAGAAGCTGTGTAATTCTGACTGTGATTCCATGATATTTAAATTGCTTCTTTCTGGCTGCTTGCAGTGTTTCTCTTTGACCTGGTAATTTTGGAATTTGGTGTTTTCAATTTGGGATCTCTTTCATTTGGTGATTGGTGGATTCTTTCCATGGCTATTTTACCCTCTGGTTCTAGGACCTCAGGGCAGTTTTCTTTGATGATTTCCTGAAAGATGCTGCCCAGGCTCTTTTTTTCCATCATGGTTTTCAGTTAGACCAATAATTTAAAAATTGTCTCTCCTGGATGTGTTTTCCAGGTTAGTTGTTTTACCAATGAGGTATTTTACGTTTTCTTGTATTTTTTTTCACTCTTTTGTTTCTGTTTGACTGATTCTCGCTCTCGTAGTCATTAGCTTCCACTTGCTCCATTCTAATTTTTAATGAGTTCTATTAGATTTTGTGCCTCCTTTTCCACTTGGCCAATTCTGCTTTTTAAGGACTTGTTTTCTACAGTTAATTTTTGTCCTTCTTTTTCCAAGTTATTGACTCTCTCTTGTATACCTCTCATTTCTTTTCCCAATTTTTTCTTCTACCACTCCTATTTGACTTTTTAAATACTTCTTGAGCTCCTCCAAGAAGGCTTTCTGGGCTTGAGACCAGTTCATATTCCTCTTTGAGGTTTCAGATGTGGGTATATTCACAATGTTGTCCTCTTCTGAATTTGTGCCTTGATCTTCCCTTTCCCCAAATTGAGAATATATGATTATTTTCCGTTTCTGCTTTTTGTTCATGGTGTTTGCCTATTTCCTGACTAAAAAAAAAAATACTGGAGCGAAAACTTCTTTCCTGCTCACCCAGGCCTTGCACTTGAATGTTTGGCTTCTGCTCGCCCAGGCCTTGCACTTGAATGTTTGGCTTCTGCTCGCCCAGGCCTTGCACTTGAATGTTTGGCTTCTGCTCGCCCAGGCCTTGCACAGGGATGTTTTGCTACTGGCGGATGTCTGTCAGCCTGGAGCTTTGCCTTCTGGAGTTGTGCTTCCCTGAGGTGTGTGGAGGCACCAGGTGATTTGGCTGCTGGAGAACGCCATTGCCAGTAGTGGTTTTCCAAGCAGGTGTCTACCGGTTCCCCTGTATTAAGGCCCTTGGGGAGGGGGGAGGGGAGTCCTGGTGTTGGCATTTGTCTGCTCCACCAACCTGGGTCTCAGGATCTCCCCGTGGTATGCTGAGGTGGGGCTTGCTGCTGGTTTGCTGGAATGCCTCCAGTCCTGTACCGCTCCCCCTTCCCCAGAACAAGAGGGGTCTTTCCCTTTAATCCCTCAGGCTTCCTGGGCTACAAGACTGTTGTGCCCTGTCTTTTTGCTGGCTCAGGGTTTTTCCTGAGTTGATATTTTCTGGGCTTTCAGAGGTCAATGAGGAAGGGTGAGAGTGACTTATTTCTTATTCCACCATCTTAGCTCCCGGAAGCGGAAGCCATCATGAGTCTTTTGCTTCATTTTTACAATGCTGATGTTATAGTCTAAATTGTCCTCCTCGTTCTGCTCACTTTACTCTGCATCAGTGCTGCAAGTCTTCCCTGGAACCTCTTCTTTCCTCATTTCTTACAGCACTCATATATCATAATCTGTTTAGCCATTGCTCAGTTGACAGACATCCTTTTAGTTTCTAGTTCTTTACTGCTACATAAAGAGCTGCCATAAATATTTTTGTACATATGGGTCCTTTTCACCTTTGTATACCTACTAGGGGTTTCGGCCTGACATTTCCAGGTCAAAGGGCACTGGTTAGTAACTTTTCAGTCATAGTTCTGAATTGCTTTCCAGGAAGGATGTACCAATTCACAGCCCCATCAACACTGCATCAATGTGCTCCTCTTCTATAGAGTGTGATCTTGACATTAGAGTATAAGCTCCTTGAAGGCAAGGACTCTTTTTCATTTTTTATATTGTATCCCTAACAACCAACACAGTGCCTGGAATATCAATGGATCTTTAATAAATGATCATTAATTTGGATTGAATTGAATTGGTCACAACATTGTATGCTTGGCAAACTCTTCAATAGTGTATTCAGGGCCATAGGTTCCAATATCCAGACACCCATATGATGTAAGATTATGTTTGAGTTGCAAGTACGTGACCCTAGGCGAATTATATTATTTGGCTGGTGAAGAAATGATACAATTAAGGATTGGAAAGCTTGCATAGAAACTCAAGGCAAAAACTGTCTACGAGGCTATGTAGAGAGGCGCCGTTGCTCTGGGAGTCCAAGAACTAATAAAGGCATGGGATGCTGGAAGGAGCTGGGCTCTGCCAAAGCCCAGCAGCTTTAGACAACCATGAGCTGTTTGTATGGGATGTGCGGCCCCCATCCTGGAGATGAGGTCACTAAGGCTCTCTCCTGGTTTTCTCCAAGGTGAAAATCTAAGTGACCACAGTACCCTCTTGTGTCTAGCGGAGGGAAAACCACTTGAGACAGAAATGGAGAATGTACAGCTTCCATTCACTTCAACATGCATTTACTAAAAAACCAACTACGTGCAAAAGCACTGTGCTAGGCACAATGGGGGTACAGAAGCAAACTGGAACAAGTTCCTGCCCTCAGGGAGCTTGGGGAATTTGGTTTTGGTCTGTAGCCTGTAATTTCACTGCTGTAGGGAATTCTGGACGTGGAAACTCCAAAGCAGATTAACGTGCATTTAGAGTCTTTAGAAACTTGCCTGGGCTGTGTGACCCTGGGCAAGTCACTTAACCCCTATTGCCCAACCAAAAAAACAAACAAACAAAAAAGAGAAAAGAAAAAAAGAAACTTGCCTGGGGCTACTGAGAGGTATGGGCCCAGGGCTGAAAAACTACCATGTGTTAAAGGTGAGCCTTGAAGCCAGGTTTTCTGGCCTTTGAAGTCAGCTCTCAATCCACTACTCCATACTGCCCTCTCTATAAGGGCACATTCAGATCAACATTTAAATGTTCTATGTATTTCACAAAACACAGGGGAAAAAATCGAAGTGTTAGAGATAGAAGGGACTTTAAACGTCTGATGTTTAAAGCCAAACCCAAGCTGAGTACTTAGCCAGTAGCAATAGTGAGATATTATAGCTAGCATTTATATAAAACTTTAAGGTTTACAAAGCACTTTACAAATATTTTCTCATTTTACCTTTACAATCACCCTGGAGAACAGGCATTATTATCTTTTACTTTTTGTCTTTTTTTTTTTGGAGGCAATCGAGGTTAAGTGACTTATCCAGGGTCACATAGCTAGTAAATGTCTGAGGATGGATTTGAACTCAGGTCCTCCTGACTCCAGGGCCCATGCTCTATCCACTGTGCCACCTAGCTACCCCATCCCCATTTTACAAACAAGGAAACTGAGGCAAACAGGTGCCAAGCAATTTTTTGCTCGACATCACACAGCTAGTATTAAGTCGGAAGTCAGATTCAAACTCAGGTCTTTCTGGGCTATCGGTCAAATGTTCTGTCATCCACTGTGCCACCTAACTGCCTGTTAGTGAAAGGGAGAGAAACTCTTTTTGGAGTTCCCCAAGTTTTTCATCATGCAGACTGGCCCACTGACTCGTGGCCACTTCCAGCTATCACCTAGTGATAATACGAGCCAAGATATGAAAGGAAATGCAATTAGCAACAGAAATGTCCTCCTGGTTGGGGTAGCCCAGCTCCTCCACACAGTCTAACCATGCCAAGGGCAGCAGAGAATCTCATGAGTCCTGCCAACCATGTGGCAAGGGCATCCTTAGCCCCTTGTCACCCTGCCTCTTCCACTGAGCCTCACATGCCAAGCAGCAGCAGGAGGCCAGGCAGCACCCAAGCCCACCTTACCTTCTTTTCAAATTCTTCTCCCTGCTTCACTTCCCGAGGGTAGCCATCTATCAAGAAGCCCTTGGACTTCTCAACCTTGGCAATCATGGCGTCTCTGAGCATATCCAACACGGTGTCCTGGGGGACAGAGGTAGGGAGCAGGGGGAAGGGGAAGGAATTGACAGGGAGAAAAGATACGTGAGTCTTCTTCTTCTTGTTCAGTCGTGTCTCTCTTGTGACCCCATGTGGGGTTTTCTTGGCAAAGATACCGGACTGGTTGGCCATTTCCTTCTCTAGCTCATTTTACAGAGGAGGAAACTGAGGCAGAGTTAAGTGACTGGCCCAGGGTCACACAGCTAGTAAATGTCTGAGGACATATTTGAACTCAGGAAGATGAGTCTTCCTGGCTCTCTAACCACTGAGCCCACCTGCTACCCAGGAGTCTTTTTGGAGCCTCTTAAAGATGCCCTTGATCTCTTCTCACACCTGCTGACTCCATTTCCTGTCCTCTCTTTTCTACTACTCTAAATCCAAAGTATCCATCAGAAGCCCAGCTCAAGCCCTACCAAAGCTCAGGAAAATTACTATGGACCACACCTAGCCCTCCATCATCTGAAATGCAAAGATACTTACTATCTAAACCACATGGCTTAGACATGAATTATATTTTGTCTTATACTGCTGTCTAATTTTGGGCTTCTGACTCCTCCCCAACTAAGTCATAAGCAACTTCTCCTTCTCCCAGCGCAGCGCCAGACGCACAATAAGGGTAGGCTCACGAAAGAGCTGCTGACAGATTAATTTTCAGAAGCAAATAGGAAAGCAAGAATTTTGAGGATCATTGATTTCACCCTGACCCATTTATTTCCTCCTCCTACTTAAGGGTATGGGACAGTAGTAATAATAACTGATAGTAACAATTATTATTTGTTGTCTATCATTAATTGAATGATTAGTAATCCCTAACATGAGAGGCATTGTGGTATAGTAGATGGAAACCAGCCTTGGGAGTATGAAAGACCTCGATTCAAACCCCAGCTCTGACAAATGCTAGCTGTGTGACCCTAGCTACATCCCTTAACTCCCTCAAGCAACTCTCTAGGACAATAAGTTACAGACAAGTTGCTGATCTGCATCAGTGGAAGGTTCTTCCACACTGGGAGTGCCCTACCTAGATGAGATCACAAGTCTAGACAACATACACCCAAACAAGATATCCCTAACATGTCTGTGGCATGTTTACCATTTATATAATGCTTTCCCAACCCAGAACATTCAATAGATTATAGCTTGAGGATACACATTGTCTCACCTTTGTTTTATATACCCAGCACCTAACTAATACAGTGCCTAACACATCAGTAGTTATTTAAGAAATGCTTGCTGAATTGAAATGTATTCAATTTAACAATGCAGGGCCCCCTAGATGAAATCAATGATGGCTGAAAAGAAATTTGCCTAATAATGCATATCAGAAAAGCTAGGATGAAAAATCATAGCTATGATATGCAATCAAGAGGCCAAGAACTCATTTAGCTAGCACATCAGAATAGAGATCTGGCAAAGATGCTATAGATGGACATCGAGTTGGGTCCAGGTTGAAAGGAGCAAGAGAATAGGAGGGATGCCAACTGGGAGGTTGCTATAGTACTTTTAATGATCCCAAGTTGCTTCCCAACCCCAAAACCTAATTTTCTTAAAAAAGTAAGTATTTTCCTTGGGGTGATCAGCCAACTGTGAATCTTTAAAGCACCACAATCACTGAAGTATCAAGGTCCAGTGTAATCCGAACATCAGCGGAAAGATGCAGGATGGGTGTGAATAGGCTGACGCATATTTTCAAGGATGGCTTTTGCACAAGAAGAGTAATAAAGGGTCTTGGTGAGAAAATGTGGGATCAGAAAAGGAGGTGGGCCAGTCATGTATCAAGAGTGAAAGATGACATGGATAGCTTGAACACTGCATTGGTACCCACAAAATGGAAAAAGGCTTAGAGGAAGGCCCCTAGCATGTTTAGGTGAATATGGACAAGAACCTGAGAAAGTGAGAAGGGTTGGCTAGATTGTGATCTGAAATGATGAAAGCCACAGGGACAAACCACAAATTTACTTAAGTATATTTTCACATTATATCTCATTTGACCCTCGTAACAACTGTGCCAAGCACAGAGGGTATATTATCCCCATTTTAGACAGAATGGGGGCAGCTAGGTGGCACAGTGGATAGAAATACGGCCTTGGAGTCAGAAGGACCTAAGTTCACTCAGGCATTTGGTACTTACTAGCTGTGTGACCCTGGACAAGTCATTTAACCCCAATTATTGCCTCAGCAAAAAAAGCAAAAACTAATAAGAATAATAGTAAGTTTTTAAAAATAGAGAGAACGAAACTGAAGTTCAGAGAAATGAGCTGATTACTCTATATCCTGCAGGATAGAGGAATGAGAGAAAAATCAGAACTTTCCTTCTTCCTCTGGAAGCATCTTACTCCCCCCCCAGGGAAAGCACAGATGGGGATATTCATATGCAGTCAATGTTGACTCTTCTTCCCACCCTCCCAACCCCCAAAAAGTTCTAGAACACAGGTACACACTAAACACTCAGCTAGATTCTAGTTTGTTGTAGGTGAACCCGTCCCCAGGCTTCAGTTGATATCTGCCCTGTGGTCCCATTTTGCCAACACCTCTCCTCCCCTCCTCCCCCTCAGTCGCTGATTACCAAGGGTACCAGTTGTCCTTTCTCCATGATTTCTGACAGTTTCTTGCGCCTATCAGAGCCAGAGCTGACTTCTTCCCGGAGGAGATCGCCGGTGGATAAATGTGTATAGCCATATTTCTCAACAATCTTCTCACATTGGGTCCCCTTCCCTGAGCCTGGTCCACCTTAAAGAACCATAGACACCCCTCCCCCAAATGTCATAGCTAGAAGAGATTTTAGAGATGTTATAGCCCAACCCCTTCATTTTACAAGTATAGAAACTGGAGCTCAGAGGAGAAATGAATAGCTTGCCCAGGGTCACACAGAAAGTGGCAAAGTCTGGGCTAGAATAATAATAACACTTCAACTCTGTGCCTTTTCACTAGCTGTCCTCTCCTCCACCTCCTGGCTTTCCTGGCTCCAAGATTCAGTTCAAATCCTAGCTTCTACAAAAGGTCTTTCCTGGTCCCCACTCCAGCTTCCCTCTGAGACTACCTCCCATTTACACTGTACATATCTCGTATGTACGGAGTTGTTTGCATGCTGTCTCACCCATTAGACTGTGAGCTCTTTGAGGGCAGGGACATCATGTTTCCACTTCTGCATCTCCCTAGTGCTTAGTATAACACCTGGCACATAGTGAGCTCCTAATAAATACTTGTTGACCTGTTGACTGACTTACATTTATATAACATTTGACAAATTGCAAAGGGCTTTCCTCACAACAATCCTGTGAAATAGATAATGCAATATGACAATCCCCTTTTTAAAGAGGAGCAAACTGAGACTCTATGAAGTAAAATGACTTGGCCAAAGTCACATATTGCAGCAGAGCCAGGACTGAAACTCAGTTCTCTCTGTCTCAGACACTTACTAGCTGTGTGACCCTGGGCAACTGTTAACCCTGATTGCCTCCAGAAAAAGAAAGGAAGGAAGGAAGGAAGGAAGGAAGGAAGGAAGGAAGGAAGGAAGGAAGGAAGGAAGGAAGGAAGGAAGGAAGGAAGGAAGGAAGGAAGGAAGGAAGAAACTCAGTTCTCTGGACTCCCAACCCAGTGCAAGTCCACGAGGCCCTATCCATCTCCCCACTTCACCCCCAGGCTCCTTGTGCACACATAGCCTTGGGGGGATTGTGAGGGAAGAGCCCAGCTTGGGTACAGACAGCCCCAGCCTCCCAGCCCAACAGTCCTCCAACTCACCCACCACAAAGATGATCCTGGTATTCTTCAGTTTCTCTGTGGATGAGGAAAGGAAAAGAAGTTAGACAGAAGCACAGTGGGAAGAGCGAAGGTCTTGGTGAGAGTGGGGGCAATAGCAAGGTAGTATAGCCAGACCAACAACACAGAAAAGGGGCCAAGGATACCTTTAGCCGTGTTAACTACTTTGGTGCTTTCCTCAGAGAAGCAGCACCCCATGGCCTGATCTTGGTTCCCAGCTCCTCAGCACTTCCCTTAATCTCACGGCCCTTTTCTCTGCCCATCCCTCTTCTCCCCAACCCCCACTAGATTCTTATGCCAGGGCTTGGGCTCGTTCCCCTCCCTGCCTCAGCCCTTCCAGTATTGCCTAGTTTGTGGGAAGGGTGAGGTGGAGGGAGATGTTGAAAGGCCACAACATATGTTCCCATAGAAACAGTTGCTGGGGAATGGAGGGGTGTGGTGAGGACCTCGGCCCTAGGCCCAGTCTAACTCTGTGGTCTCTGTGTTGAGGTGGGCAGGACACAAGAATTAAAGCTACAGTCTTCAAGAAACAGAGGATCTAATGCCAACTGAGGTCCCTTCTCAGGCCATAGTGCCAAGGACTTCCACCCAGCAGGTCAACTCTAAGTGTATATAATCAAGCAGTACTGCAGTCAGTGGCATAGTATCCAATAGCCCAGGTGTCAGGGGATGAGCTGACCACTAAGGGGCACTTCCTAATTTTAACATTCTAGAATTCTAAGCCGGGGTGGGGGGCTGGGCATGCCATCAGGAGAAATGCTTTTCTGACATTTGGAGTCCTATCCTTTCCTGGGTGGCAAGAGGAATCGCACCACCTTTCTGGGACTCCAGATCCTACCCAGGGATGCCAGAAGGATAGGTCATGAGGACCACAGAGGGGGGCCGCTGAATGTAATCAAGGAAGAAGAAAACTGATTTTCCTTGTAGGCAAACTAATCTCTAGGACTCTGGAGATTCTGTGTGAGCACAACAGAATGATTGCCTCATTCTTTCTGGACACTCAGCTTTTGCAGATACAATGGAAGAACCCAGTAATTCACATCCCTTATATTTGTTTGTACAACATAGGCATGAGGGTCAAGGTGCTTTCATATCCATTATCCTGACATCTTCACAATATTCCCTAAAATTCCTATTCTACATTCGGGGAAACTGAGGTAGTGAAGTATAGTGCAAAGAGTACTAGGTTTACATTCAAAAGATCTGACTTCAGATCCCAGCTCTGCTCCTTGAGATCTGTGTGACCTTAGGCAAGTCATTTGGCCTCAGTTTCTTCATCTGTAAAATAAGGGGATTGGACGAAGTCATCTCTAAGGTGCCTTGTAGCTCTTAGCCCTGTAATTTTATGATCCTCAGGGCCCAGAGAGATTCAGTGATGTGCTCAAACTGTGATCTCAGCATTATTCCTGTGCTCCCCTCATTAGTGGAGATGTACCTGGAGGCAGAGAGGGAGTGAGTCCAGAAGCTAATAGAACAGACTTTTGTAAATGAAGACCATATTCAAGATGGACCAGACACAGCAGCAATGGGAAAAGCTGTGGCTCCTTTAAGAGTCTCTGCTGGTCCTAGGCCCAGAGCCTAGAGTGAGGGAGGTAAGGCCAGGCCAACCCCTCCTTAGCAAAGCACGTGGTCCTGCTAAGGAATGTGGGTAGGGATGCACTCTAGTGAGATGGGAGGAGGCACATCAGACTGTCTTTTCAAGTCTCAGTGTCCCTGTCTCTCTTCTTACCCCCTTTTGCCAGAGAAGGAGCAGAGTCTATAAATACCATGTGGAATAGGTGGGTTCTGGGGGAGTTGAGTTCCCAGGAGACACTGAGAGGTCTCCTAATCACAGTTTCTAAAATTAACTTTGCCCCCGTGGGGCACATGGCAAAGAAGCCACCCTAGCTCCTCTCTCCCCTCCCCACTCCCAGGAGCTGGTTGTTCCAGGAGCCAGGGATCTCAAAGGGGGAAGGAAAGCCCGGAGAAGCGATGTCCAATGGTGGCCCATGATATCCCATCTCTCTTCCAATGTGCCTCTTGTCACCACACAGACACTCATAGAGTGAGAGCTAAAAAGAGCTCTAGTTCACCCTCTTCACTTTACAGCTAGGAAAACTAAGGCCCAGAGAGGTAAGGTGATTTCCCCAAGGTTACACCGCAGGCTAATGACAGAGCCAGAAACAAAACCCACATTTCCCAAGTCCCAAGACACTCTTTCCACTGTATCAGACTGCCTCCCCTTTTCTGGATCTATGGACCCAACTGCCTCATTCCTGGGAATATTTAAATAGAGTGGTTAAGAAGCCACAGAGAGGAAAAAGTTCAGCACTACAGAATGTTAGCTCTACAAAGGACCTTAGAAGCAATCTGGCCCAGCCCCATTATTTTACAGATGAAAAAACTGAGGCCTGGAAAGGTCACACAGCAAGCAGAGGCGTCAGAAAGTCAAGAAATGGCACCTACTTTCCATTCTGCTGAGCTCAGCCTGCTGAACTCTTCAGGCTGTAAGATAAAAGAAAAAGGTGAGAAAGATCCCTTGGACAGACAGGTCCTTCTCTGTTCTCCAACCCACCCACCCTGTAGCCAAAACCAGACTGAGAATCAGACATATTATCTTCCTGAATTCTCCCTAACCCCAACTTTGAGGAAAGATAGATTCCTCCCCCACAAAAAAAGAAATAGAAAGATTAGGCCTGGTACTGAGAGTGCCCATCTGCTCTGCCTCAGGGACACCCTCTGAGAAACTGAGGAGCCTCAGAGATAGACCTGAGAGGCCTCCCCACCATCACTAGCACCTCTTCTCTCAAAGCAAACAGTCCCTCCATTCCCCTGACTCCACATGTGTTGCCATGTGGATGGCCCAGTGGTTAACTCCCCAAGGCCAGGACATAAGACTTAGAAAATGAAGGCTAGCTACCTTTTTTTGAGGTGGACATGAAGGGAGAGGAAGCAGCAGCCTGAGCCCAAAATTTGGGCGTTGCACCCCTGGTATAGACTCATAACTGAGATGAGATGAATGAGACTTTGCCCCTAGGCAGCAGCATCTAAGGAGCTTCCTCTCCTGGGCAATTGTGGTCTCCTGCCACCCAATACAATCCCTTTAGGCCATCCCCACACACCCAGTGTTCTTCTGCCATGATACCTCTCCTTTGGGAGATTCCAGAGCATCCTTCTCTTATATCACTGATGCACTCTCTATATGCCATCATTACTTCAACTCCATTCTCCATAAAATAAAGAATATCTTAATCTGTTATATCTAAACTGAATATCTAAACTGCTTTTCCCCAGATAAAAATATTCCTTATTATAGCTACGACACTATGGCAATGTGCCTAGTGTGCTGAAGGGTGGGCAACTAGTGTTTTCCACCCATGAGAAGACCCCTCCTTATCTCTCCAATTGCCAGCCTCAGTGGCTAGGAGGAAAATTCCCCTCCCCACCCCCATACCAGGAACAGCACTTCAACTCTCTAGACCTCAGTTCCCTCATCTGTAAAAAGAGGGTGTTGGACTAGATGACCTCTAAGGCACCATCTAGCTCGAAATCTAAGCATGGGGGTTTAAAATTCCCAGGCAGTTCTCAGCAACAGTTTAGCCCATTGGGGAGTATCCTACCGTAGCCCTCCTACCCCAAGACAGCTGAATCCTCTGGCAGCCTGAAGCTTCTTCAGCTCAAAATAACTCAGAGTATAGGGCACCTGTGTGGTGGGATGGGCATGTGAGTTAAATGTTCTGGAGGGGCTTAGGTTACACCCAGAGCCCAGCCCTAATAAGGGCAGCAGCCTGATCTAAGAATGGATTGAGGACGAGGGACCTCCCAGAGCCCTGCAGAGGGGTGACAAGTGTAGACTTGGCTTGGGGAGGGCTCCCCTCGAGGAGGCCCAATGAAGGGGCAAATAAGAGAAAGAGCAGAGATTTGGAGCAGGAAAGGACGTTTTAAGGTCATCTAGTCCAGTCTACTCATTTTACAGATAAAGAAGCTAAAGTCTAGAGATGTTAGTCTGAGGTTATAGGAACAGCAGAGCCAGGATTTAAATTGAGATCATGTGATTCCAACTTCACCACTCTTTCCGCCAAACCAGAGGGGAGATCCAGTCTTGCTAAGAGCTAAATTACTAGGAAGGCCTTGAATCCACCTTTCTCTCAACCCAGGGCTTCCCAAGTGAAATTCCCAACCCCCAGAAAAGCTAAGCCCTGAAAGCTAGGGAGAGAGTGAGACATACAATCTCAGTTGTTATCCCAAGTTAATCCCAAGTTACCTAAATAACGAAAAGTTAGAAATGGGGAGAACTTTAATGATCATCTTGCCCAATGTCTTCATTTCACAAATGAGGATATTCAGAAAAGGCCTTTATGACTTGTCCAAGATCTGATTCCTCATTGACAATGCACCTCTGCTTCACCCACCATTTCCTCTGCTCTCTCCCTGGGGACGAGGTTAAGGGAGCATTCCATTGGTTCACTAAAGTTAGGCAAGAAGGAAAGGAAAGCAGGGGACCCATTTCCATAAGCAAACCTCCCACTCCCCAGGTCCTATTCCCAGAGAATTCTTATGGCTGACCTAGCTCCTACAGGAGGCTAGGAACCCCTTGTCCCACCTCACCCTTTCAGCTCCCTCCACAGGGGCACAGATATGTGTTTTGAACACCCAGAGCTGCTTGACCATGAGAATATTCACTCAAACCCCTTCTGTAAGGTCAAGTCAAGGCCCTGAAAGTCC